GTAAAACTACATGCATTTTTTTCAGTGTAGAGGCACAACACAAGTAATTAAGAGTTATGACATTCGTTTCATTGAGGATCCTCGATTCGTAACTCAAAGATCACCACAAAAAGTGGAATTACCTCTTCAATCGATAAATACGGAAGTTGAGACATCAAGCAAGAGACTGAGTACGAATAATAGAGATGAAGTAGAGAAAACGAACAACAACGATTCAACAGACAGCACTGATTATGAAACTTCAAGTGATGGAAAACGGGTAATCGAAATGTACGATGTTACGTCCATTTGATGGATATGCATTGCCTCTAGCTATTCATTTTTATTGACACTACATGTAGCTTCTTCTAATGTTAATGGATCAATTTCCATCTCTGCGACATTTGCAATATGATACTCCTTTTTCGGTCTTCCTCGCTGACCAGTATACGCTTAATAATAATAATAATAATTTCGGGAGGCAGCCACCAGTTGGGGCCAGCCAACGACACGCAGACTAGGTCCATTGTGTCTTCCCGGCCGTACTATCTCCAAATCAGATCAGACCTGTCTTCCTCCAGAAACAGAGGAGGTCCCTGACCTGGAGTTGACATACCTACTCGGGCTCGAGAAATACCGAGCACAGAAAAAGCCGCCTTTGTCCTGCATACGCTGGGCATTCGCATAGCACGTAGAGAGAGGTTTCTTCCTCGTGTTCGCACTTCCTGCACCTCGGGTTATCACTGTGCCCCAGCTTGTGCATGTGGTAGTTAGTGAAGCCATGGCCCGTGTAGATCTGCACCGCCAGCCTGGCTTCCCCTCTCCTCAAGGCCCTAATGCTCCTGGCAAGGTTCCTGCTGGGCGTCTCTCCCAGCAGGACTCTCGCCTGCCTGCATTTGGTTCTTGTCTCTTCCTTCCAGTAGTTGATATGACGGTCCCGTAACCAGCCCTTTATTTTTGTCCTGTAGATGCAGCTGGGCAAACCTAGAGCCGGTTCCGGTCCCATCAGCCTGGCTGATGAGCCACTTCTTGCCAGCTCATCAGCAATCTCATTACTTCTGATTCCCGAGTGTTCCGGAATCCATACGAGAACAACATCGTTGCCCGTGGACAGTGTGTTCAGAGCACATTTGCACTCCCAGACCAACCACGAGTCAAAGACGCATGCCCCCAGCTCCCCCAGAGCCGCCCTGCTATCGAAGCATATCCTAATGCGTCTGCCCGTCTCACCTGATGCGGTTAGCGTTTGAGCACAGCTCATGATTGCTACCACCTCCGATTGGAATACAGTAGTGAACTCTCCAAGAGGGAGAGTCTCTCTGACTCCACTACGGCATCCGTAGACCTCGGCACTGGCGCCTTCATCAGTCTTGGAGCCATCCGTGTACCAGACGTCCCCATTCCTGATAGCGGGCACCTCATGCCTCTTCCAGTCCTCGCAGCTAGGAATATAGATCTTATACGATCTGTCGAAGTCGCGCCTTATTGGCATTCTATCCTGCCTCATGTCAAACACGGTTTTCATTTGGAGCTCCCGTGGTAACCGGGTGTGAGTCACACTGCTCATCCATTTTCCCTCGCATTTCAGCCTATACGCCGTGACCGCTGCTGCCGCCACTATCGCGAGATGGAGTGGTTCTATGCCGAGCAGCACTCCCATTGCCGCCACTGGGGTTGTCCTCATTGCACCCAGAGCCCCCCTTAAAAAGAAAGCCCTGACGCGTTCCAGTGATGAGCGGGCCTCGGTTTGCTGTATCCTTGGCCACCAAACCACCGCAGCATAGAACAATCTTGGTCGGAGCACCGCAGAGTATAACCAAAACACTCTGTCTGGCTGCAATCCCCAAGTTTGTCCAAAGGTTCTTCTGCACATCCAGAAGTATGTGCTGGTTTTCTTACACATTGATTCCAGGTGCAGCTTCCAGTTCAATCTTTTATCCAGGACAATTCCCAGATACTTGACTGACATTCCAGGAGTCAGTCTGACTCCCTTCAATACGGGCCCCTCCACGGGGCCTATTTTGTACTTGTGTGTAAAGATCACCAGACTTGTCTTATTCGGATTTACCGATAGACCTGTCCTCTCACACCATTCCTTCACCACCCTTAGAGTCCCTTGTGTAAGCTCCAGTATGCCTATTCTCTAACTTCGTAACGACAATATCACCACCTAGGGATATCGTTACAGAGATTTAACGACATGATAACGAAAAATGGTATTCTGTAATTTATTATAACGATAGATGTCGTTAAAATTTTCGATAAAGTACCGAATTTTATCGTTAAGATATCGAGGGGTATCAGACCCCTCGATAAGCAATAACGACAATATAACTAGATATAATAACCTATAGCAACGCTCCTGCTTAAACGATCCGAGTGGCTGTAAGTAATACGGAGCGCCTATAATTAATATTGGAGGTGAAATTGCTGATCTGAATAATTATCAAATATTGTAAGTAATGTATATAATATCTGAAAATAATATATAATATCTGAAGGTAATTATAAAATATCTGAAAAAAAAATATATATATAAATCAATTTAGGTTACATTCTATTTATAAATTTTATATGTGTAGAGTAAATGAAATGTTTTTCATTAAACTTTTATTATGATTTCTTTATTTCTTCTTTTTAGTGTAAAATGGCTGACGGATATTTAGCAATAAATATACTTTTTCTTCAAGAAAGAGTAAGAATGCTAGAAAGACGATTAGAAAGAAGATTATTGCGCGATACTCAAAATCCATTTGAGCTCCCTAACAATAAATTCATCGCGAATTCATCATCAATTTAGAGTGAATAAGGAAATAGTTATAGATATTGTTAATGTTCTGAGGCCACATTTGCAAAAACAGCGTACAACTGGCTTATCTCCAGAGATACAAGTATTAGTAGCATTTGGCTTCTTTGCTCATGGTAGTTACCAAAGACCGGCTGGTAATCAATGTGAATTAGTTGTAAGCCAACCATGTGCTAGTCGTTGTATAAGAAAAGTGGCGCAATTAATGAATGTATATTTATTGCGTCAATGGATAAGATTTCCTATGACTGCAATTTAAAGAACAATTGCAAGAAATAAATTTGCATTAGCTCGGCAACCATTTCCCGGTGCTATAGGCGCACATATATATTGCACACATGTTAATATTCTTGCACCATATATACATGAAGAGGCCTATGTAAACCACCACGGAAATCATTTTTTAAATGTTCAAGCAGTAAGTTTTCTAACTTATACAGTTTTATACTTTATGTTAATTGCAATTATTCACTTTTAAACTAAGTAAAATACATTAACAAAATATATGTACATATAATATTGTATATAATTATTATAAGATTGCAATATTGATTTTTATGAATATTAAATAGGCAAATTTTATGAGGTCAATCGTGTGTGACTTTTGCCTGTTTTGTAACTCATTAATAGTGAATTCAGTTAGTTACACTACATTGGATTAGTACACATTAAATGCTGTTTTATATAAAGTATCTAAATACAGTAGTATATAATAGAATCACTTTAACAATAAAATAATACACATATATTCTGTTAAACAACAACAATATCATTATTATGTATATAACTGTTTAAAATATTTATATATTTATATTTAACTTTACTAATTTCACATACAGCAGTTAATGTATACTAATTTAGTGTAATGCAAGTGACCGAATTGGTTATAAAACAAAATTGTTGTCATTTTTTAATTATTTCTGAATATTTAATACTAATATCAATATGTAATTGTGTATAAATTTTTGTAGATAGTTGATCCACATTTAAAAATACTCAATATTAACGCAAGATATCCAGGAGCAAGGAATGATGCCTATATTTGGAATGCTTCTCCAATCAGAAATGTCATGGAATATTTTTATAACAATGGTGAAAGGAGAACTTATTTGATTGGTAACGTCTTGATAACGTGTGCAGAACTTTTTTAAAATTTATCATGAAGTACTAAGTACATATATATCATATATATGTGTGTGTGTGTATGTATGTGCATATGTATAATACTACATAATAAATCATATTAATTAATCATATGTATACATATATGTATATTCATAGACAACATACTTCTTAAAATTTATAACTTCATAGTTATGAATCATCCTTTTATTTAACAAGGTAAAATAACAACAGTACAATATTAAAAATAAAGGCTACGCATTATTTATGTTATCCTACGTATATTGCAATAATTTAATTAATTTTTTAAATTATTAGATCTATATATTTTAGGACTTATGTTGTACAACTGTTCTTACTGTGACGTGACGCTTTTCACCGTCCGTCACAAGGGTCGTTCGACCTGGCCGAAGTAGCGCGGCAAATTTGTCCTGTGTCCTCCCGACGCGGAGGGCGGGCGTGCCGACGCTTATTGCGATTTTCGGGCGAGAACGCGGAGATTTTTGTCGTCACGTTTCGCGTAACATTTCTTTTTGTAAATTTGTCTAAGAATTTTTAGTATCAGCGGCTGCGGTAGGTAATCTAATGTGCGACACATTCCACCATCTCAAGGAGGCGGTCAAGACGAAGATAGAAGATCACATTGGAGGTCCGAGGCCACCCAGAGGAGGGGGTAGCGCACAGGTGATACCGTTTCATACTGTCTAATTAGCGCCCTGAGCGAAACGTGTTTTGCTGAAGCCAAATTCTTTACAGGCGACTATGCCGCGGGAGCGACGAAGGCGGCGTGAGGGGATAGCCACCCTCTGCCATAGAACGAGCGAGGACCCCGCTCACGGTGCCGCACGGAAGCCTCTGCTGAGAGGAGACCTCGAGTTAGGAGGCCGAGCGTGTCTGCCAAGAAACCACCCAATAAACACATGATGGTATATTAAACGTTCATTATACGTAAAGTAAGTATAAAAATGGTATAAGTATATCATAAGTATATCAGGTAAACGTTTAAATTTTTATCGTTTTTATACCGTCGTATAATATACGATAATCATATTCGTTTTTATTACGTTTGCATAATACAAAACTGATTTTATACGTTGAAAAACAGTATACGGAAGAAAGGGTTTAATTTTAAAGGTGTATCCACGTTTATTTATATAATCGGATAAACGTTTATTTAATACATATATAATTTATGAAAGAACTCTTATTTACAAATGTTTAGAAAGTACGGTATTGTATAAATGGTATAATATACGTCTTTAAAACGTCAATAAATGTTTGTACAAATATTTTACATATACGCTTTTACGACTAAAATATTATACGACTAATAAACATATTTTATTATTTATATTTAACCCATATTGAGCTAAATAAAGATACGTAGCATTTTCAACGTTTATAATATATATATATATGTGTGTGTGTGTAATTCCTAGATATACTTCCTTTTATAAACATATCAAGATATCGCATTATACAACTATCCATAATACACATATCTATGATTATACATATTTAAATTAAAACGTGTATTATGAATAGTTGTATAATGCGATATTTTAATACGTTTATAAAAGGAAGTATGTCTATAATTATTATAAACGTTGAAAACTACATGTCTTTATTTAGCTCAATATGGGTTAAATATAAATAATAAAATATGTTTATTAGTCGTATAATATTTTAGTCGTAAAAGCGTATATGTAAAATATTTGTACAAACATTTATTGACGTTTTAAAGACATATATTGTACCGTTTGTACAATACCATATTTTCTAAACATTCATAAATGATGAGAGTTCTTTCATAAATTATGTATGTTTTAAATAAACGTTTATCCGATTATATAAATAAACGTAGATACACTCTTAAAATTAAACCCTTTTTTCTATATATTGTTTATCAACGTATAAAATTAGTTTTGTATTATGCAAACGTAAAAAAAACATATATGATTATCGTATATTATACGATGGTATAAAAACGATAAAAATTTAAACGTTTATCATAAGTATCTGGTATACTTTACATCATTTTTATACCTACTTACATATAATGAACGTTTAATATACCATCATGTGTTTATTGGGTTTGACTCTAATTTAATAATTTTGTGGATTTTTATCAGAACTAATGTGACATGCAATTTAATTGTTATATAATAATAATATTAATTATAGTAGTAATAATAAACATTCTTATTTAATAACAGTAATGTTCAAGGTTCGGAAGAATAAATCATACTAATAATTAGCCTAATAAGCCTATTTGACCCCAAACACAGGATATTTATTATGTGAATTACAATTTAACAATTAAAAACATGTATATTGATCGTATACGTTTCGACCTATGGTTAAGGTCCTTATCAATACTTAATTAATATATCGTGTCTTCTATTGTCACAAGTAATACCCTTTAAAAATATATCTAAAATATCAATCTATCTATCATGGTATTGTCCAACCGCTTCGCATGTCATCAAATTCACAAGTTTAATGATTGTACAAGCGTCCTTAGTTTTTTGATTTGCTTTATATGTTCCATGAGACTGATAGATTCCATAAAACAATGATGAGTGTATTGAAACGCATGATTTCCGTGCGATAGTTACAAGTCAACAATACCATGATTGTTAAATTGTAATTCACACAATAAATATCCTGTGTTTGGCTCAAATAGGCTTATTAGGCTAATTATTAGTATGATTTATTCTTATTTAACTGAGTTAAAAAATAAATTGTATAAAAACAAATAAATACATTAGTATGATAAATATTTACTTGATTAAATACACGTGATGAGATACACAACCAATGGCTGTTTTTCAACTGGATACATGAGGCATATTATTACATTAAAATATAAATATTTTAACGATTTATTATATAAAATACATCGCGAATTGTATATAGCTAATTGGAATAATCATTGCATTTTAATATGTGTAAGTGTACTATTCTGAAGTGTGTATATTTTATTTTCCGTGAAGAAGAATGAATTTAATTCAAGTACAAATAATGTAATGTATATTATACATCTATGTTTAGCGGTAAGTAAAACTATTGAAATATAATTAATATACATTGAAATATAATTAATAAACTAATTAATTCAACTCTAAAAAATGTAATCGTTCGTTCTTTTGAAAGAAGAGAAATAGAAAATTCATTAAAACATTATCAGCTTGGCAACAGACACTTAAATCATTGATATTTGTTTCTTCAGGCTTTTAATGAACAAAAGCATTTCTATGGTGAGCTGGATGAGCTCGATTGCTAGAGGCATCCGGGCACGTAAGCGTTTTTCCAGGAAGGGGAACTTATGGGTTCATATACGTTTTATATACGTTTTCTAAGTTTGGCTAATGTTCTACACGTTTAAAAAACGTATATAAAACCAACATGTGCTACTGAGGTTTCTTCTCCCTTTCTGACGACAACATCGTTATACACGGATAGTTCGACCGTCTTTTTTTGCGTAAACAGAAGGAATATACGCTGGCGTGCCTGGGAAAATTCCAGCACGGGCTTGCACGGGCCACGGATCGGCATATCACTTCGATATCGATGGCTGGACAGTTCGGATGGTTTCGGATGGTCAATTGTGTCTGTATTTGAACGAACCGAAGCAAGTTTGCGACTATTTGATTTCTGGCTCGGAAACTTTTTCAGCACAAGTAAGAATATATTTTTATAGTTTCTTCTTCTTTTCTTCCATTTTTCTTCTTCTTCTTCTCCACTTCTTTCTTCCATTTTCCATATAAGTGCAGTAAAAGTGTTTATACCCTCTGAAAAGTGAATCAGTGTATTATTATCGAAAAACAGAAAATATTCGCTGATGATTATATCAGTTATAAGTGTAGCACTGAAATTACTGATTTACTTTTAGAGAGTAGGTACATTAATATTTTATATTAACCCTTCGTAGGCACACCGAGTCTTTTCTTATCCAAGCGAAATTTTACTCTCTTTCTTGGCACAAATTTTAATTTTTATTAAATAAAGGTTTTAACATTTGAATCAAATACTTATTTGGCAATATAGCCACCTTTCTCAACTCAATTTTTAATTATTTTCACAACTTTCATATTTACATAGTCTGTTTGAAATGTAAACATTAATCTGTGCTATAATGTCTATCAAACCTCTTTAAAAAAATCTGCTAATTAGGCGCTAGAAATAATGTTATAGAATTATCAGAATTGTTAATATTCCAATGCAGAGCGAACATTTTCATTATAACTGAACGCGGAGATACAACACATTTAATATTTATCGAATAATATAAAAGAAAATAATGAAAATATTGAATAATTTTTTGAATAGTTGACGAAAAAAGTATAGTAACATATTGCATACAAAAAAAGGAATTTGAATCATGTCTTCAAACGTAAACAAAAAAAAAATGTATGGTCTTGTGGAATTTCTAAGTGGCAAAAAGAAAGAGTTTTAGAGTGTGCCGTTATACCATTGATTTGGCTGATAGAAGAACGGAAGAAATGTTATTGGCCAAAGATCAAATCTCAGCAAATTTTTAACAAATTAGTATTGGATAATGCACCATATGACTCTACATGGATGAAATATAAAGTCCATCGAGTATTAAAAGTTTCAGGTGAGAATTATTTTAAAGGAGAAAAATATAGGTTTAATGTATCTTTGTTTTAATTTATATATTGGTACTTTATTCATTTTTACTTTATTTTTGTAACATATACAATCGGAATAATTGTTTCAGCTATTCTGGTTCCTTTTACGGAATCTAAAAATTCTTTATTCTTTTGTAGTTTGTTTCTTTATGTTATAGTATTCAGTATATTAGATTCATAAAATATTAAATCACAAGTTAAACGTTTATTTACTACAGTTATAATTAAAAATATACCTTAATTGCCTATTAATGTAATAATTTAACACATACTTGCTGACATGCTTTGTTATTTTTTATAATTCTAGTATGATTAAGATTTTATAAAGGAATCAATCAA